CTAAGAAGCCGTGTCAACTCGGTAAACTCTCTGCTTGTGTTCATCTGGAAGGTTTTCGGCTGCCAGAAACCGATGGACGGTTCTGCTGTTTCAAACGGCCACTATCTCGCGGTAAGATGGCACCAGAATTGGTGACAGATTTCCTGCTGCTCATGAGCTGGCGCGAGGCGTCAGGAAGAGCGTCTGACAGACGTTCAATTGCAGGATTGTCGACTCCAGTAAGGACAATGTTTTGGAGGCCCGGCAATTCAGAGAATGGCAACCAGGCTTCGCCTAAAAATTACAAAAATATGAAAACGAAGCAAAAAGAGCCCAATTTAAGCGAGTAACATTTTAAGTTTTAAGCGACAATTCTGGAGTTTGGAGTGAAATTGACATATTTGTTTTCGAGCCAATAAGATAAACATGAAAATAATCTCAGTTTGTTCTTTTAAGTTTGTTGTGGATACTTGTAATCAGTACTACATGTATGATGAGGAGATTCGTTGGTTGATCCCGCCGGAGGACAACTGCGGATTTCCGTTATTTTTATAGACGGCTTATTGAAATACCTCCTAGTAAGGCTTCCCGAACACTGTTCCATAAAATGATATTTTTATTGATCCAATTTAAACAGACCAGACAACAGTTTTTCAGCTTAAATGCTTCTTGAGACTAGCGTTTAAAATATGGCCGTGAAAAATTATATCGCAATGGATAAATAAGCCGTCTGAATAAGGAAATGATAAATTATTTACGGATAAAATGTGGACAATTTTTAATATATACTTATATTTGGTATCACTGTAACCAGCGTCGTGGCTAATCTTGTCTCTTCATGATTGAAGAACTTTCCTCGTTCGCAGATTGAAGTTTAGCATGCTTACTTAGCTGTCCTAGATGTGTCATTATTTTAATAAGCAATCACAGAAAATTGTCTAATATCCTGCGGCAATGAGCAGTAGGCTTATCAAAAACTTGTTCTGTATCCATTCCAAATTATTTTCCATTCGACTAAATCCCAGACACTTTTGGCTTCAAAATAGCCTCTTAATATAAAATATATATTTTAATTTCTTTTCTCCATTTAATTATTATCTGATTCGTCTTGTCTTTAAATCTACATCACGTTATATCTGTTAAGTTCTCTGATGCTCCCGAAGAGCTCGATGGCTTTGGTATCAATATATACGAAGAAAAGTTGGGTTTCGAGGAATCTTTTGTTTCGTAAGTGCTGAGCTTTCGAATAAAACTGTTGAGTTAAGAGATTCAAAGGTCAGTTCTACCAGAAGATGACGGCGGATTCCTTGATACTTGATCAAAGAGGCCAGATGTAGAGTATATATACCACTTTTTAGCGATTTGCCGGTGATTTTTCTTGACTCGTTAGCTTGAATTTTGTTGTGACGATGATACCTTGCTTTGATGATGCTCGTCATATGACGGACCAAAGTTACCTCGGAAACGGAGTCAACATGAATATTCCAGTAAAGCCAATCGACAGCTGATCAAGAGGAATCCGCCGTCGTTTTCTAATGGAACCAACTTTCGAATCTCTTCACCCAACACTTTCACTTGAAATGGAAGTAAGTTCAACAATTTGGTACCAATGTATGTTTATTTAGTGAGCATGGCCACGACTCTGGTTCAGAGGCCTATCCAAGACAGAAT